GAGTACATTTTGGAGCATGTTTGCTACTTAGCAGAGAAGTGAAATTCAGGTATGATCCATTTTTTTTAAAAAAAAGGCAAGTTGATTTTGATTATTACATCATTTTATCTAATTTGTTTGGTCATTATGTTACTGTTGCCGAAAACCATTTCCCCATAAATTGTATTTGGTGATCTTTAATGAGTTAAAAACTCTAAAAATAACATTCTTGTGGTTGTCAATCTGTGCATTGAGTCCTGCTGTGTGATGAAAGTAATCCTTCAGTTAAAAACCAAACCAAAACCCAGACTTGTTTCTATGAATGCATTCAAATTCGGTGACACTTTGTGTTCTGAAAGCATTTTTTCTTCTAGGCACAAGAGGCTGTAAATGTAAAGAGCCAATATGGGGGAAAAGAAGGCAGAACCATTGGACTTTGTAAAAGATTTTCAGGAATATCTTACCCAGCAGACTCACCATGTCAATATGATTTCTGGATCAGTTACTGGCGACAAGGAAGTGGAGACTCTCCAGGGAGGTGAGCTCATTTCAGTGCCATGAATTTGACTTCTTTTGAAAGTGACTGCACTGTTTTCAGTCCAGGTAATTATGCAGGTGCTGCAGTTGTATGGAAGCATTTCTGATAGTCTTTTTCACATCACAAAAGATGTGTATATACCTTTGTTTTATAGTTCTGTATATTTAAAGACCAAAGGCATAGAGAAGCAGAAGATGTTTGGCCTGTTCTCACAGCGTGACAGTGTCCTACAGATTCTTAATTAAAATCTTTGTTGTGTTGCTCACAGCTGGGACAGAAGGTGATCAGAACGGTCTGGACCATCCCTCTGTTGAAGTTTCACTGGATGAAAACTCAGGAATGTTGGTGGATGGCTTTGAAAGGACGTTTGATGGAAAGTTGAAGTGTCGATACTGCAACTATGCCAGCAAAGGAACAGCTCGGCTCATAGAACACATCAGGATTCACACAGGTGTGGAATGTTCTGCTGGGCTTGGCTGTGGGGCTTGGGCTATTAACTCAGCATTGTGATTTGTGTGTGAGGAGCTGACTATTCAAGAAGCCTGATAGTCCTTAACAATTAGAACTGGGGTTTGGGTTGGTTTTTTTATAACTGTGTTTTAAAGGTGTGCCATGTATTTAAACTATGCAAATTCCTACTGACATTTATTGTAAGTAACTCTATGGGAGTAAAGCTTAGCATGAAAACTTCAATGTAAATTGAAGGGCTCTAAAATTAACTATTAGTTTTTCTGTGCTAATCAGAAAAGTGACAAATGTACATGTTGCTACCTGGAGATTTATAGAGCCTTTTCTTCCTCTGTTGTTTAGCTATGAAAATATTCCTGTTCTCCACAACATTCTAGATGTGAAAGTACAAAGCACAGGAATAAGAATAAAGTTTTCTTATTGGTAGAGTATTCAAAAGTGAGAGCATATCATCAAGTTGATTGGTAACAGTAATGGAAAGAAAAAAAAAAATCAATTGTGGCTTGTTTAAGAGCATTTGCCACTGTTGGGTGTATAAAGCTGAAAAGCAAAACTCTCAGTAAAGTGTGGAATATCCTAAACTGTTCCTGAAGTCAGCTCCACCTTCTTGGCACATGAGAGGAAACACATGAAAGGTGCTTGTGAAGTCTGCTGAGTATATTACACTGACACAGAAGACTTCAGGGCTGGTAACTAGAGCAGTAAGAAAAAAAAAAAATTGTCTTCTGCAAAGAATGAAAGTTTTCATAGGTTTCAAGTCTGGTATAGACTGTTCCAAAACTTCCAAGTGTCTCCCTTCAGTAGTCTTGGGTAGTTTGGGACTCACCTTGAAGGAAACATGTAACCGGAATATAATTTATCTCTCTTCAGGTACTCTAGTCACATTCTCACTTTGCCGGGAACCATTGCTTTCACAGGATGTTTATCACATATTCCACACAAAAAAATCCATCCTGGGATGAAAGCATCCATCTCAGGATGGATTCTGGGGAATTCAGTGCTCCTTGGTGCTGGTCCTGCAGTGTTGGCTTGTTTTGACAAGGCACAATCGGATAGGAAATGGCAACAACTGTAAATCAAAGAGTTCTGTGGTTCAGACTCTAGGGACCTGGTAAATTCTCCTCTTGTGCTACCATGAGCTACCTCTGTGTGTAGCTGTTGCTGTTTTCAGATTCCCAGTGGAAATTTTGAGGAGTTCCAGTAGTGGATAAGGTACCTTGGCTTGTGTACCTGCCTTTGCAACAGCCTTAAAGCCATGGCTTGCTGCAGAGCTGCAAAGCAGCAGTGGGCTTTGGAGCTGTTTGTTTGGTCTAGTTTTTCATAAAGCAGGTACAGCTTCACCTACCATTTGCCTCATATGGGATGTGGACAACAAGGGATACTTTTATCAGCTTTACTCTGTGCAGTGCTAATGCTGAGCTTGTGACATGAGGGCCGTGGAGTGGGGAAAACTGTCCTGCAGACTCACAGAGCTCATTTTTAAAGAGCACTTAAAATATGCAGAGGTAACATCAAATTTAAAATGTCGCATTTTTTCAGTAGCAAGAAGCTGTTGCCATCTGAAAACTTGCCTCCCCAAGCCCACAGTCCCTGCTGGCCAGGTGTCAGCATGAGCAGATGGACTGCTAGAGCTGGTGGGAGGCATAAATTGCTCCTAGAAAATGTTGGAATTGTGTGCTTGCTAGTTCTTGGGATGGTTTTCATGGTGTGTATGGGGTTTCTCAAACAGAATGAATGAGTTACTTAATATCAAATGTCATAAATTTTAGCCATACTAGAGAGCAAAAAAATAAAATCTCTCTTCTTTAAGTATCAAAATGTGGGTATTGGCGTAGTGTCAGCATTCCTTCTCTTACTCTAGGGAGTTGCCTACCTTTTCATACTCTCAGATCTGAGGTTAACAGTTCTCTCTTGTGTTTTCAGCATGCTTTCTTGTCCTGTGCTGCTTTAGGGAGGAGAGCCCTCCCAGTAAATGGCTTGAGGTGGCTGAACAATTCCTGTGGGAGCTTGTGACCGTTTCATCATGGTTGCAGCATAATGTATACGAAAGCAAGAAAGATTCCAACCAGGAACTGGGATGCTGAGAAACATCCTCAAAAATCTCTAACCCACCAGTCATTAGTCAGAAGCAAACATTCCATGAGTTAGACGAATTTAGGTGTTGAGGCAAACATAATGCTTTGGGTTTGGGCCTTGACTAACATTTTGAGTTGTGTCTCGTGGTTGTAGTGAGAGGGGGATGCAGGGCTGTCACTCTTGTGTCCATCAAAGAGCTCTGGCAGTTTGGACACACCTTCACACAGGGAACAGCCAAATTTCTGGTTCAGACATGCCTGATAATGAAATACCAGTGACTGACAACAGTAACAGTTCACTTCTCTGCACCAACCTGTTCAGTTTTAGAATGTAAACAAGGATCTCAGGCTGCTTTTTTTTCTCTGTATAAGTTTCCCCTTTGCCTTGTTACAGTACATTTCCATCCTTAATTTTAATTCAGCACTGCATGTCGTGATGGCAACAGCACTTTGCCATAACCTTAGTGGCTCTTCAGAAAGCTCCACTTTCTTTCTTTGTACAGAGACAGGGCACTCCAGAACAAGAAAAGGGTAATTTTTGATTTGGTTTTCCTGGGGGCTGTTGTGTTTGTTTTTTTTAATCAAGGGAAAGGTGATCCAAGACCTGAGTGTTGTTTTGCTTGGAAGCATGGCAAAGGGCCAGGAGATGGATTGCATGCACTGTGAGGGCTCAGAGTGATGAATCAGCATTAGAATTAAAATAGGGAAGTGGTAGGTGACCAGTAGCCTCAGAGCACTGTAAGTAAACAGGTAATGCATCCTGGATAACATCAAGTGTACCAAGGTATCTGCCAAAGTAATTATGTGGCTTCCTGCAGAGCCTGACAGCAGGATAATGAGGAGTTCAGCAGCTGTGGTATCTTACAGATGTGCAACATGTGATGCAAATCCTTTTATCTCTGAGTAACCATTTTTTTGAGTTTTTCATGCTATGTGGCAAGAAAATCAGTTGCACAACAGTGATTTAGCAATTAACCTGGAATTCTAGATAGGAAGGATAAGATGATCATTCATTTCAGCACCTGAACAGGCATCAAATCCTTTAGGCATTTCTGACATTGCAGACCTGGATCTAAAAACTCCTAGAAGATCAGTGTATCAGAGGATAATCAAAAGTCCCAAAGCATTTTGTTACAAATGGCCTGTAATGATGTTTGAAAGTTTTCTGTATTTTTAAAATGCTAATGGACTATCTATAAATTTCATTTAATAGAAGATCAAAGTTCTACCTGTGTAAAAGGAGAATACCCGACCACCTCCCATGTCTGGGAGAACACACAGCTCTCCAGGGAGTACCTGGCTTTTGTTTTATTTAATAACTCTTTAGCCACAGGATCCTTTCTCAAAACTCAAGCTTTTGGTGGGTGCATGGTTTTTTTACATTGTAGTTCCAGGATGTTTAATACTAGGGATGTTTGGAGGATACCAAAAGGACATCCTCCCTCAGTGTTTAAGTTCAGTTATTATGAAGAGTGATTCATTTTGGTGGCACAGACATGCCTGTAGCCCCATAGGTGAGGGAGAGTTTGGATCCAGTCCAGGGCACCACACAAACATCACTGCGTTCAGCCTTGGCATCCCTGGGGCAATTCCAAGGCAGCTTGTTTATTGTGCTAATTCCACTCACTTTTTTTCCCTGTGCTAATTATCACTTGGGTGAGGCAGAGATGTGCCAATGTTCTTTGTTCTTCCACTGGATACTTAGCTGAGCTCAAGGCTGGCAGTGACTCTGGAGTTCGATCAGCAGCTCACAGCGAGCTGCTCCGTGTCCCACAAAACGCCTTTTCCGAGTGCTCCGAGGTGCTTTAGCGCGATCTGTTCTAATTTTCCAGGTGAGAAGCCGCACAGGTGCCATCTGTGTCCCTTTGCCTCGGCCTATGAGCGTCACCTGGAGGCCCACATGCGATCCCACACCGGGGAGAAGCCCTACAAGTGTGAACTGTGCTCCTTCCGCTGCAGCGACAGGAGCAACTTGTCCCACCACCGGCGGCGCAAACACAAGATGGTGCCCATCAAGGGTACGAGGTCTTCCCTGAGCAGCAAGAAGATGTGGGGGGTTTTGCAGAAGAAGACCAGCAATTTGGGGTACAGCAGAAGAGCATTAATTAACTTGAGCCCACCTTCCATGGTGGTGCAGAAACCAGACTACCTTAATGACTTCACCCACGAAATCCCAAATATCCAGACTGAAGCGTATGAGGGCATGGCAAAAACGGCTCAGAGTGGAGGGTTGCCAAGAGATCCACAAGACCTCATGGTGGATAATCCTTTAAACCAGCTCTCCACGTTGGCTGGGCAGTTGTCCAGCTTGCCACCTGAAAACCAAAATCCAGCCTCTCCTGACGTTGTTTCCTGTCAGGATGAAAAGCCTTTCATGATCCAGCAGCCTGCTGCACCTGCAGTGGTTTCAGCTGTGTCAGCAAATATTCCTCAAAACTCATCTCCAACCAGCCCAGATCCTCGGCCTCCACAAAATCAAAGGAACTATAGTCCTGTGGCCGGGCCCAGCAGCGATCGCAGCGCCCACACCAGTACTCCCAGTATAAGTAACAGCCAGCCAAGTACTCCAGCTCCAACCCTCCCAGTCCAGGACCCTCAGCTTCTGCATCACTGCCCACACTGTGACATGTACTTTGCAGACAATATCCTTTACACAATTCACATGGGATGTCATGGATTTGAAAATCCTTTCCAGTGCAACATCTGTGGGTGTAAGTGTAAAAACAAGTACGACTTTGCTTGCCACTTTGCAAGAGGCCAACATAATCAACATTGACTGAGACATGCTTTGGTTTAGTTTTTTAACATATGACAGTCTATTTTTCATACTTGCTGATGGAAAGCTTGCACATTCCCATATGGAATATTCACACTAGTCGATTCGACAAAGGAGGCACATTTATTTCCGTGTTGTTGTAAAACTTGCCAGGGAAATTTTGTGTAGGATTTGGTTGTTATTTTATATGTAGCCTTTCAAAGAAAGCCAAGAGTGCTGTCAGGATTGGAATGCATTTACATGCTGTGGTTGCTAAATTTAAGTTGCTTGCACTTAATCCCAATAAACATTCTGCAAATGGAGAAGCAGGGTGTGTGTCCTGAACCATAGGATGTCACTACCAGAGTATTTACTAGGCTGGACAAGCCACATTATCCATATAATATGAAAGGTTAATGCAGTGGCATATCAAGTGGTGACAGGACAAGGACTGCCAGAGGACAGGGTTAGGTGGGATATTGGGAAGGAATTGTTCCCTGTGAGGGTGGGGAGGCCCTGGCACAGGTTGCCCAGAGAAGCTGTGGCTGCCCCTGGATCCCTGGAAGTGTCCAAAGCCAGGTTGGAGGGGCTTGGAGCAACCTGGACTAGTGGAAAGTGTCCTTGCCCGTGGCAATGGGGTTGGAATTAAATCATGTTTAAGGTCCCTTCCAACCCAAACCACTCTGTGATTCTATATGGCTACTTGGAGACATATCCTTAAAAAGTTGGCTACTCTAAACCTGAAAAGCAAACAGAAGCAACTTCCACATGCAAATTCAATTTGATGTAAAAGTTGCTTTAATCCAATGAAGGTTTATAATAAGTTTCTGTTTAGTAGCCTACACTCTTCATTCTAGGGCTCAAACACTAATTTAATTATTTTAAAAACTCGTCACAAAACTAGAAGGTAATGGGTTATTGGGAATAAAACTCTGGTAGAAAAAAAAAAACAAACAGTTAAAAGCTTGTCATTCCTGAGTTATACAAACAAAAAATTAAACAGGATACCTTATTTTAACCTACACTTTCCAAAATCACATCTTTTTTAGAGGAGGTAATTTTTAAACAGACATAATAAAGAGCTTGTACAACTAATATATATTCTGTGAGACTTCTAACTGCCTTAAACTAATTTGTACAGATATTTAAAATTTGCACAATTAGACTTCTGTCTTGCTGACAGGAGTGCTAATAGGATCAAACAAGAGGTTTACAAATTAAAACTCCTTTGTTCAGTTTTATGTTGGGCCAGTCTACAACCGAGACGTTGCCTGTATGTTTGAGGGTTATATGATCTAGTTTATTGTAAATTCAGCTGACTTGGAGGTCTCTTTTATTCCCTCTCCCAGATTTAATGTCTTTTGGGTGTGCTGGAAATAAGGGGAAGGGCCTCTGGCTTTTCTGAGCTGTCCATGTAGGAGGCAAAGGAACTACACTGGGTTTAGGAATTTTAGGTAGCAAACGGTAACTGAAAATTATTGTTTTGTTTCGTACTGTACATCTTATTTTAGAAGCCCCCAGGGTAACGGACAGGCACTTTAAACCTAAATAAAACATCCGAGCAAAATTAATGATAACCCTTAATATGCTAGATAGGAATTTGAGACATTAAAAAAAAGGAGAACTGTTACTTTTCCCATATTTAGACGTGCACTTTTACCTTGGTTTGTCTTACTTGAGAAAAATTTCAGCTTCCCTTATATATTCCGTTTTTCCTGTCAGCAAATTGGTTGGAATCTGAGTAGCAAATGCTTGGCTTATGCAAATTTATATTGTTCTGGGAGCTAAAACTTCCTGGAGGCAATAGAAAAACACTAACAGTGACGTGAGTGTAAGGTCAATGCAGGAAAAACCATGTGTCTGAGAATTTCAGCTTTAGAAGTAATTTTGACTTTAATTAAATAGAAATTTGGACACCAGGCATGTTTCTCTCTACCTGACTTACCTACTGTTGATTTTCTGTGCTTAGGTAACCAGCTGAAGGGACTGGATTGTTGGCTGTGCACAATCTTGTAGTAATGAGGTCAGAAATCTGCCACTGGAGTGGTTCCAGCATAGTGAAGATGAACAATAATAACACTCTGTCACTCCTAAAAGTAATTGGTTTCAGGCCTGGTTCAAAATCCAGTTGGGTGGATTTGTAAAGCAGAATGTAATTTCCATTCTTCATCATTACACTCTTCATAATTCCAAAACATCTCTGTTGCTTTATACTTTTAAAATTTATTTTATCAGTAAAGCTGCAATTCTGTGTGCATGGAGAGTCCTTTGTTTTAAGGACTGAAAGCTGACTGAACTGGAATCCAGTTGGAAGTAACTGCTCCTGAACAGGTTTTGTAAGATGCCTGTTCCAGTCAAAGAGGACAGGAAAGGTGGTTCCCTCTGGATCACATACTGGCAGATTCTAAAATCTACATTTGGCTAAAAATACAGTATTAGGATAAGAGAATTAACTCTTGAAGACCTTTATGATTAGTAATTTATAGAAGTGGTTTTCCTTGCCTTTTTGATAGATCATGCAATCTCCTATTCCGAGGCTCTAGCAGCTCCAAGGAAGCTTCTGGAATGGTGGTGCTCCAGGGAGCACCTTACAGTGTGGAATGGCACCAGTCACAACAGCCAAGTTCTCCTTGGTTTGTGGCTCCAGCCTTTCTCCCTCCTGGTATCAGCAGGAAGATTGACTTCCATGTGCACAAATGTTTAGGATTCCCTCCCTTCATCCCATTGATGTGGTTTCTGATCCAGTAGGACTTTTGTTGGCAGTGCCTGTAAACAGTTACAGACTTTTTTTGTGCGTGACAGCTCATGGTTTGGTGATTTAGAAAAATGACTTCTGAACCACGATGCCCTTGGACAAAGTTAAGGATAGGAAGCTGGTCAGGTCACTGGGAGTAAGAGGAAGCCTGCAGGATCTGATGGAAAAGGGGCCCTCATTTAGGAGAGGATCCTCAGTTGTGGAGAAAATATGTTCTTAATAACAGAACTCAGTGTGGGGAAAAAAAAAATCTAACCCCAAACCTTGCAAATTGTTGTTTGGAAGGATTTTAATGCTGCTGCCGGGATACCATTGTTTCTGCTTTGGAATTCCTCAGGAAAAGATTAGCTTGGACCTCTACAAACAGCTGAACAATGCTAGGAACACTTCCCTGTTTCCTTGGGCAAACTCCTCTCCAGAGGGGTTCCTGGGCAGCAGCAGCTTTGGTGTTTGTCCCTTGGCTCTGCACCCAGATCCCTGGGGTGGATCCCTGCATCCTTCACAGAGGGTCACACCAGGGGTAGGATTCTTCTTGTTTCCTCCTCATGCTGTTGTGCCAAACAACTCCCTGACACTGCTGTTCCCTTCTCCACTGAGGAGCCTTGGAAGGGGTATTGGCCTATTTTTCATAATTTGTACATCCTCTTGACTACAGTTTAAAGACTGGCAAATTGTTTGAGAGTTTGATCCTGATGATTCCCTTGCCCAAGCAGGCCTTACCCTGTCAGTGTGGGATACTTGTCCAGGATTCTGGGATTGAGTTTTCAGTCAGAGGGACTTTTCATATCTAGTTCTCCATGTGCTACAATGCACTAACTTGTTTCTTTTTAAAAAACAAATCCTCATATTATAAGGTGGTGGGTGATTAGCATTTTATTAACAGGGAAGTTTTGGAAGGAAATGGAATTTTTTCCCTAGCTTGGTTCTGTTAGGTTCTGTAGTTGCAAAACACGAATTTTGTGAAGTTTTTGTTTTTATTGTAAGAGATTATTTTATAGCTTTGTGGACATTTCAACATGCACTATTCGTAGCACTCAATACAGACTTAACTGAGACTGAATATTCCAATAAATATTTGAACATCTTAATTATCTCAGTTAATACTTAAACCAACTCCAAAGCGGCTAATAGGGGAAAATAGTTGTTTTTTCACAGACACATGTTTAGATGAAGAGGATTTTGACATAAAATGTTGGTTGGCATTTTAATATAAAACTCAGTGCTGGGTGACACGTTCCAGCAGTGTTTTCTACCCAAATAATCTCTTGCTGTTTGTTTTGTTCCAGAATGTTTGAGGGGGGTGTTGATTTTTGTTTCTTTTTGACGAAGGGAATGTAACTTAGAAGTCTTTACTGGCAAGTTTTCTATTAATTTTAATCTTCTCTGAAAATCTACAGCAAATGGATGTTCTGCTGCAGGAAATCTCTCTCCTGCTGAAGCATTTTTCATTGAGCAATCTTGGTGTATGTGCTTCAAAGTACCTACTTTGTTAATAATATGTATTTCAGTGTAAAGAGCATATTTTATGCAAAAATGAAACCTGCTAGAGTTGTAAAATAAATTTTAATGTTAGTGAATGTTTTTGAGATGACAAGGTTAATTCTGAAATAACTCTATCATGTGTAGTTCATGTTGTGAAGCTTTGCTTTTGTAAGATATGAATAAAATAACACTTTCTAATTAGGTCCCGTGTTAATTCTTAATTGCATGTGCTACCACAGGTGGAGCTGGTGATCTGCTCAGGACTAAATGGGATCTAGATGTGGTAAGGAGGATAAACTCACCTCTGGGATTGCTCAGGGGCTGCTGGACAGAGCAGAGCAGGTCACCAGCCAAGGTGCTCCTCAGAATCTCATCTGAAGGAGGCTGTGGGTCGAGGTCAGTCCCATGGTAAGCAGGAAACAGGACTAGATGACTTCCAAGTGCTCTTCCCAGGCTAAATTCTTCTCTGATTCTATGAAATTTAAATTTAAGGATGGTTTGTTTGCTCTTGGCTTGATCTCCATTCTGTTTAGACTGTGTTTCTCTTCCATACTATGGAGAGAGGAGTCAGAGAAGGGATCTCTCAGCAGTACTGCAATTTAAACACCCAACATTCTCTGTGTCATTATTTTAAAATATATTTATTGACTACATTGGTTGCCTCCTGTTGGAATGAAGAAATTAGGCTCGTAGCAGGGTCAGAATTTTGGGTTTTCAAAGTCTTTCCTTGCCTCAAGTCTTCCAAAAATTCTGCCTTCAGTTTGTTGAGTTCTTCTGCCAAGCTCTTCATCTCACTTGGGGGAACGTTTTTGTCTAAAGAAAATTAAAGTTGAACTTTTAACTTCATCTTAAAGACAAAATCATAGAATTGTAGAGTCACAGAATATCCTGAGTTGGGAGGGACCCACAAGGATCATCAGTCCAACTCCTAGCCCTGCCCAGGACACCCCAAGAATCCCACCCTGTCCCTGAGAGCGTTGTCCAAACATTCCTTGAGCTCTGTCAGCCTTGGGGCTGTGCCCACTGCCCTGGGGAGCCTGTTCAGTGCCCAACCACCCTCTGGGGGAAGAACCTTTTCCTGAGATCCAACCTAAACATCCCCTGGCACAACTCCAGCTGTTCCTTGGGTCCTGTGTCTGGTCAACAGAGAGAACCTTGAACACATGCACAGAGTTGCTAATCATATAAATCCTATGAACTAAAATCCTCTAAAGTGCTGGTCTGGACTAAATGGGTTTATTAAAGCTGTATTTAATACAGTTAATAAATATTATACTGGGTTTTAAACCTACAGACTTTGACTCATGTTCCACAAATAACTGTGACCAGACCTGTGAAGGCGATTCCCTCGGTCACACCTGCTGGGACATGATTCCTGAACAATTCTCCCCAAGGGAACTCCACAGGTTTAGTCTCCCACTGCCAACCAGCAGCTGGGATGGGTAGGATGGGTGGGACAGGTAGAACATGTACCTCTGGCATCCTTCATGGCCTGAGAGATGACCCTCCTGCACGCCTGGTCAGCCTGGTGGACAGCACTGGCTGCACAGATGGCTCGATCTGTGTCCTGCCCAGGGCCAGCAGAAAGGGAGAAAACAAGCAAACACTTTAAATTTATCTAATTTTGGAAACAAGTAACACCTTAGCAGCACCTCAGTCACCACCTGAAAGCAAGCAGTGCTACCTTTTGCTCCGTGTCCTCCTCGTTTGGCCTTGCTGGATTTTCCAGAGCAGTGGCCAGCAGGTTAATTATCTGCTCACTAAGAAAACAAACAACAGAGTAAAACATATCAATCAAACAGATTCACTGACATTTTTCTTCCATTTTGAAATGGTACCACAGGAAAAAAAAAAAAGAGCAAGTTTTCAGTTAAATTTATGAGGCAATCAGTGAAATGATCTGAGATGAAAAACAATTACAACTCAATTATTTTCAGTCTTAATATTTCAGGCAATTTACATGGATTTTCAATGTCAGGGTAGGAATGCAGTGAGTTTTGAGGTTAACTCTGCAAAGGATGATGGCTGTGAGCTCCCAACAACCAGCCTGTGTCTCATGTAACTGACTGGCTTCCAAAAATCACCACTGGGAATATTTTTTACACACTGTTTAGATACAATAAGGAGCTTCTATCCAGTCATGAAAACAGCACTTAGGAAAACTCTAGGATCAATCCAGTAGCATACTTGTCCTCTGAGATGCAATCAGAGCTTCTCAGAATGAGGCTGTGCTGCTCCCAAGCATTTTTCTTGAGATCTGGCATTTCTATTTTCCTTGCCATTAAATGTATTGTCTGCTCTGGTACAGGATCACTCCTGAGGCGATTCCTCTGCAGGCAGCATTCCAGGGGACAGTCTAAAAACAACTGGCAGAAGCCCAAGGAATCTAAAACAAACAGAACCAGGCAATTTTATCTTTAAACAGTTTAAGTAACAATTTCTGAGCGCAACACATAGGAGAAAGGCTCTGCATGACTGAGGGGATTCTACACAAGTTCTGAGCCTGATGTGAACACAAACCTAGACAGGAACACCAACAATTTTACCTTAAAGGCTGCTCAAGTAATAATGTCTGAGATAATACACAGAAACACAGAATGGTTTGGGTTTGGAGGGACCTTAAAGCTCATTTTGTTCCACCCCCTGCCACGGGCAGGGGCACCTCCCACTAGCCCAGGTTGCTCCAAGCCCTGTACAACCTGGCCTTGGACACTTGCAGGGATGCGGCAGCCAAAGCTTCTCTGGCAGCCTGTGCCAAGGTCTCCCCACCCTCACAGCCAAGAACTCCTTCCCAATATCCCATTTAACTCTGCCCTCTGGCACTGGGAAGCCATTCCTCTTTTTCCTGTCACTCCCCAAAGTCTCTCTCCAGCATTCTTGGAGCCCCTTTAGGCACTGGAAGGTGCTCTAAGGCTGCTCCAAGAAGGGTTTTAAGTGTCCTACCAATTTCTAATAACACAGTAATAAAGTTCAGTTGCTCCTTATCGTACTGCAGGAACCCA